CATTGATACTGGAACCGTACTTACAGACTAACTTTGTGCATTTTTGGAATATTTTTTCACGCATCGAAATTCGCCAGGAACTTCGATTAAGTGCAATTTGTTTATCAGCACGGTTCAGCTGACAACGCAACGGGCTACGCAACCGATTTACGGATATACAGCCTAGAAAACCAATCGCTCAAAATCCTTCAAGGTCTGCAGTTATTCAAGTCCCACGAGATCTGGAAAGGGCTAAGTCGCTTCTGATTAAATTCAACAAAATTTATCGGATTTTAAGTATTTTTTCGCTTATTGAGTTTTGAATACTCACTTTAATTCATAATATATAAGCCGACGTATTCGTTATAACATCGAAAGCGGAATTATACCTATTATATCACGTCGAAGTTTATGGATTCTCAGCAAGCTAACGGTAGTAGTACGGCCAGCGACGGCACCTCTTTGGAAGATAAGTCCGTTGAGTTGTCCTTCGCATCCAGAACTTGTGCTCGCTCTACCTTCGCCTCCAGCCAACGACCAGCAAAGCGTGCAAAAAGCGTAAATACCGCAAAAAGTGTGAGGTACGAAGACGAGCCTTGTGCTGGGTGCGCAGATATTCAAATCAAAGTAGAACAACTGGAAAAGGAGCTTGCTGAGTTAAGGACGCTCGTGAAACAGACTATAGTCGGCCAGAACGTGTCCAGTGTTAGAATCCCAAAAACGAAGAGCAAAACGCAAAAAACGCGAAAAAATATCTCCTCGGGGGAATCTTCGAACACGAGTAGCAACTCAACAGCCAAAACCGCAGACGCCGGTAACAGCAGGACAATGAAAACGAAGCCGCCGATAAAGGGAGACTCGAGTCCCACGCACGATGTCTTAAGCGATGTCGCAAAAAAATTACCTGTCGCGGAAGCCATCTTACCTAAGCCTCTTGCTGTAAGTGATGGGATTTCTCTTCTGCCTGGAGACGATATACCTGGGTCATCCAGTCTACTGTTGCCCGCTTGTTCTGGCAACCACCCCGAGCGCACTACAGAGCACGTATCTGAATGTGAAGACATAAACCAGTGGGTAGAGGGGAGAGGGAAACGCCATGACAGGATTCTGAAGTCACAGCCAGCCCTGATGGGTTGCTCGGGACAGTCGGTATACAGTAAAAGTGTGCGTCCAAGCGATGACTCCGTAAATCGTCCTCGCCCACATGCAGCGCATTCACCGGAAAGACAGAGTAAGGAGGACCATGCTCGCCGGCAGTGTCTGGTTATTCAGGGTTTGTCAAAATCGAATGCAGTCAGACCTGAAGACCGTGTCTCAGAGGACCTTGCTTCTTTTCATGGTCTGCTAAATCATTTACTGCCGGCAGACATGGAAATAAGGGTTCTGAAAGCATTCCGGATAGGAAAAAGGAGTGAAGACAGGACAGTAGCACAACCACCTCGCCCTCTCAAAATTATGCTGGAGAACAAAGAGCAAATCAAGTTTATCCTCTCTAAAAAAACCGATCTCAGAAACACACACAAACAGGTTTTTTTTTCAACCGGAATATTCACCAGCGGAACGGTTTAAACGCCGGGAACTTGTCTTGGAGTTAAAATCAAGACTGAAGGATGGCGAACACAATCTGGCTATCTTCAAGGGGAAGGTAGTTCGGAAATATATGCCGTTTCAGTGGAACCAGCCTGTAATACTACGACAGCTACTCAGCTAAAACAGACACCTTCGTTGAACCACCTGATCAAGGCGCCAACACAAGTGAGCCCGTAGCGTCCAATGATCTGACTGAAACAAGGCATGTAAATGGAACCAATCAGGTAACGGAAGAGCCTAGAGAACACGACGTCCGCGATAACGGAGTAATGCTCACAGCAGTAACAAATGCAACGGGAAATTCGGCTGGTGCTAAACTGAGGTGCTTGTACACGAATGCCCAAAGCCTCATATCGAAACTAGACGAACTAAAACTTTGTCTTGTTGAGCTGTCTCCAGATGTTTTAGCAGTAACTGAGACCTGGCTGTCCGGGAATATTAGCGATAACGAAGTAGCCTTGTCTGGATACCAAATTTATCGGAGGGACAGGGAACATCGTCAGGGTGGTGGTATCGTTGTGTATGTGAATGACGGTCTGGCAGTGTCGGATAACACCACCATGTTTGCGTGCGATACGGAAGCTATCTGGTTGAACATCAATGCTACCGGTTCCCCGTGTCTCGATGTCCTCACAGTCTACCGACCACCTAGGACAGACCGAATCGCCGACACTCAACTATTGGAGCAGTTGGAGAAATTTTCCAGCCGACCTAACATCATGATCATGGGCGACTTCAACGCACCAGGAACAAACTGGAATACCCTCCAAGCGTCAGGTCCAAAATCGGCATTCGATTACCGCCTGTTGAGCAAGACATTAAATGCGTGCCTCACACAACATGTGATGTTCCCAACGAGAACACGTGAAGGACAAAGGGCAAACTGCCTGGATCTGGTCTTTACGAAAACACCAGACAGCATAGACGAGATCACCTTCATGCCGCCCCTTGGCCGAAGTGACCACGTAGTGCTTATGTGGGATTATTCGTTATTCTCCATTTCACATACTCCAGACCACAAAAGGCGTAATGTTTGGCGGGGCGACTTCAATCAGATGAGGGCAGACTTATCCGGTCTTGACTGGGGCTCATTGTTTACGGGAAGTGCCAACGATGACTGGGTGCTGTTCAAGAATGTCCTTATGCAGCTCATCAACAACCACTGCCCACTGACTAGTGTCAGACTGAACAAACGCCCCGGGTGGCTAAATAGCAACCTCAAGAAAGAAATCAACAGGAAGCACAAATTGTGGAGAAAATACTGCGTCACTACACAAGCTGAATGCTTCAACACCTACAGGACACAGAGGAATAAACTGAGGAAGCTGATAATGCAGACGCGGCGGGAATTCGAGAAGAACTTGCTACAAAAAGCAACGCAGAACCCAAAATTGCTCTACAGTTACCTCCGACGAAGTACAAGGAACAGGCATCAAATCCCCTTGATAAAGACTACTGATGACGTTGAGATCGCTGATAGTAGGGATAAAGCTGCGTATTTTTCACGGTTTTTCCAATCAGTCTACACAAACGAGGCTAGGTTCCTTCCTCCCTCCACAGAAGAACTGCCGACTCCAAGCGTCAGTGATATACTCTTCTCAGAAGGCATTGTACGAAGAGAATTAGAGGCATTGAACGAAGCGAAGTCGCCAGGACCAGACGAGATTCCACCCAAGCTTCTCAAGGAACTTGCCAGTGAGCTTTCGGTGCCTTTGTCGATGCTCTTTCAAACGTCATTTGACACTGGAACAGTCCCTGTCGATTGGAAGCTGGCGCATATTACTCCGCTACACAAAGGAGGTAACAGGGCAGCGGAGACAAATTACCGGCCCATAAGCTTGACATGCATCCTCTGCAAAGTTATGGAAAGGATCATAAAGAGCGAACTGATGCAATTCCTTGAAGTGCACGGCCTGCTATCGAAATGCCAACATGGGTTCCGAAAAGGAAGATCCTGCACGACAAACCTGCTGCAATCTCTCCAGAGCTGGACCCAAGCTCTCGACGACAGGCACGCGGTCCACATAGCCTTCGTCGACTTCCAGAAGGCTTTTGACACTGTGCCACACCAAAGGCTCTTACATAAGCTGAAAAAATAGGGATCGGTGGCAACTTCCTTAAATGGATCGAAACCTTCCTTGTGGGTCGACAGCAGGTTGTGTGCGTCGGTCGGGGAAAATCAGATCCGGCTATGGTCGAAAGTGGTGTCCCCCAGGGTTCAGTACTGGGACCCATTTTGTTCCTTATCTACGTGGACGATGCCGCAAGAGATTTAGACTGTGAAGTAGCAATGTTTGCGGATGACATGAAGATATGGAGTGTAATTCGGGGTCCTGCCGATGAAGACAGACTGCAGATGAACCTGAATCGGTTGGAGGAGTGGTCAAACCGTTGGCTCCTGCGGTTCAACGTTGCCAAATGTAGCATACTTCGCCTAGGCAACACAGCCAGATCCGCCAGCACAAGAGGCTACTTTCTGGGCGGTGCAGCCCTACAAGAGGTCGAAGCCCAAAGGGACCTCGGTGTGCTGTCGACGAGTTCTCTAAAACCATCCGCCCACTGTTCGAGGGTGGCAAAAACAGCAATGTCCGTACTGTACGCCATCAAGCGTGCGTTTATGGACTTTGACGAAGAAGCCTTCTCTAAGACATTCGGAACATTCGTCCGGCCGCATTTAGAGTACGGCATACAAGCTTGGAGGCCGTGGGCTGTTGAGGATCAAAACTGCCTCGAAAGAGTCCAGTGGAGAGCCCCGAAGATGGTTAGGGGTCAAAGCTCCTTTCCTTATGCAACCCGCCTAGTAAATCTGAACCTCTTTCCTTTGAGTTACAGGCAACTTCGCGGAGATCTCTTGCAAGCCTTCCGCATTGTAAAGGGGTTGGATTGCAGTCTGGCCTTCGAGGACTTTTTCGAATTTGCTACCACAACCAACCTCCGAGGTCACCCATTAAGATTGCGCACTCAGCAGACACGGCTGGATGTGCGGAAGTTCTCCTTCTCGGTTCGGGTGGTCAAACCATGGAATGAGCTTCCCGCAGATGTTGTGATGTCACCATCTATACAAAGTTTTAAGAAGAATCTGGACATATTTATGTTCCGAAATGACCAAGAGCGATGAGAAGTCGAGCTCACCCCCTGTAACTCCTTCTCATTTTGTCCCACCATTATGGGCGTGTTCGAACTTTTTCAGCCCAGAACATCTATCTGTACACCACACATTTTTTACGTTGAAAATAGGGTACTCAAAGGCTTACGCCTATTTCCCTCAATAAACTGAACTGAATTGAACTGAACTGTACTATTATTTTACGCAGCCTTGAACTCGGGCTCGGTATTTGAAAACTCTGCGAACGCAGTCTTCCTGCGGTCGTGTTCTGTTCCGGCATCTTTTTCGTCCTGCGACTCATCTGCCTGGGTGCTACGTATTTAAGATGAGTCTTACCAAAGGTTTGCTATAAATTCTGATTGTTTTCATTCTTTAGAGGCACTCTTTCCTGCTGCTCCTTTCGTAGAAAGAGCTAAACGTGTTAATTTTGGTGCCCATCCCAAGGGCCGTTATATTTTGTATGGAAATAAAAAGAATGTTATCATCCATGATATAATTGTATGGCTCCGCTTCCAATAATTTCCTCAGAATCACTCAGACAATGACGTTTATTTTAACCATCCGACGGATGTCCGCTCCGCTAAGTATTCCCCAAGCGGGTTTTATGTTGCTTCGGGAGGTAGGTTTATCGCTGCCATCGGTAATTCCTTAGATAAGTCCGGAAAAGTCCAAATCTGGGATGCCACACAAAAAGAACATTTTATGAAAAATGAATTTTGCCTCCTATCGGAAATCAATGATCTTGCATGGTCCAGTGACAGTGCCCGCATTGCTGTTGGTGGTCGAGGCTCTGAAAAGTAAAGTTTTCTCTTAAACACACTTCCAAGGTTTGGCAAAGTTATAAACGCTGAATTGGGAACCGAAGTTGGTGAGGTTTTGGGTATGAGCCGACCAATTAATGCTGTCGATTTCAAACCAACACGGCCCTTCCGACTGGCTACTGGAAGTGAGGACTTTCTAGTTTGCTTCTTCGAAGGCCCTCCGTTCAAATTCAAGAAGTCTGTTAGCGTGAGTCTGGGGTCTAATCAGTTTAGACTAGACGATTTGGGGAATTTTACCTGATACCTTCAAATTACGCATGGATTGAGTATCATCCACTAATTTTCCTCGTGGTTACCTTTGGACTTTGTGCTTTATTTCTGACAGAAACACAAAAACTTTGTAAATTGCTGCAGATTCTCCCCGAAGGGTGATATTTACGTCACCGGAGGTGCAGATGGCCATGTAAGTGTTTAAGTTTAGATGGGTCGATTTTCATCTCAGATACACGCATTCAACGCAACTGACAGCGAATATATTGGAGAGTTTGGTTCTCCTGCCCACTCTTCGGGCATCTATGGCCTCGAATTTTCTTCGTCGGGAAGTCGCCTGGTTTCAGTTTCAACTGACAAGACAGTAAAACTCTGGGACACTGGTAGCGGTAATTTCGGTCTCCTATCGGAGTTTGCTTTCGAAAACAAACCGGAGAATCAGCAGGTACGCGACCTTGGGCGCTCACTTTTTTCTCTTTCTGCGCTTTTGTTACATCATCTTAGTTTTAAGTTGCCCGAAAGTCCCCAGCCTTCCAAGGATTTAATCGCCCATGTTTTCAGCTGACCCTGAAGAGCATAGCCACTGCTCAGCATGATGCCGAAGTCTGTAAAATAGTACAGGATATAAACAATATGGGAGTTACTAAAGTTGTTGTCATACATAGGTTACGCGAAATTAACACTAGGTAGTAACAGAAGCCTTAAGACTCCTATTAATATAGCCAAATTCAATTCGGCAATTTCCCTGACATAGTGTGATTTGCATTTGCCTCATCCGCGAAACTTGATTTCCTCACCTATCGCATATGCACCCCAGCAAACAACTTAATCTGACTGACGCCCGTCAGGTATCTCTATCAAATTGCCTAACTCACAAAGCTTTTCACAGAGAGTGGGGAGAGGATGCAAAGCCTTACTACTGTAATCCATCCCCTCTTACCCAGACATCGGTGACCTATGTTAACCGATTTGGGATTGAAGTTCTGTGGTAGTCTTGGGACTGGCTTTAAACAATTAAATCCTTTGTAGAATACTGCATTCATGTTCGCTAGTTCGCACTTCTTCAGACTGTGCAGTCTTCCTTTACGTGATCTACTCCCTACTCGAGTTTTTAGGTATTCGCAAAAATTTAAAATACCAATGTTCGGTCATTGCTTCTGATTGTTAAGGAGCATTTATCCGCGTTTGACTTATTATTTGCCCTTATATTTCTATTTGCCTACTTCTTTGTAGCTGGGTTGTGTTTGGGTCGGTGATAAACTGGTGACTGTTTCACTCAGTGGAGCCATGCAGGTCTTCAATGCTGATCCAGATGTCAAGGAGCTGGCGGCCCCCACAGATGTCATATTTGGCCATTCTCGACCAATAAAGTGTAGTGCGTACTCAAAGTCTGCCAACCGCCTAGTCACCGCTTCCACCGACATGGTTATGCTTTCTTGGGACATTTCCAAGGGGGTTGCGAAACCATTTAGCGGTCCTGAAGCGCACAAAAGTTCCATCGAGGCACTGACCATCTGTGGTGACAGGGTCATATCTGTCGGTGTTGACGATCGTCTTGTCGTCAGTTCCTTGGCAAATCATTCCTTTGAGTGAGTCTAGGAATTTTACATCCCATTTGCCTTGCAAGATATGTTCCTTCGCTATCCCACGAAAAGTCCTGTGTACAATTATGCTCAATCTCCGAGAATATTTGCGGGCAGTTTATGGAGAATCTAATGTACTTATATTTGTTTAACTATACTCCCAACGCTGTTACCAGCCAACTGCCCAAATATGCATTTTGCACTTTGTCGTAGTCAGTCAGCTATAGCCCAACCCAGGACGAGATGACCAAAAACTTGAACTCGACGTCCAGCTGACCTTCGAACTGAATGTTTTGCATGTTTTCTACGTACTGACAGTTCGACCGCCTCAAACGACGGTGTCCGCCATATGCCCCACGTCATATCGGACGCAGGGATAATGACTTGCGTGTATATTAGTGGGTTCGTAGTCAGACAGGCGCAGCATCTACCGCACTCCTCTTTCACCCACTTGAGCTTGGTATCAAGGCAGAGTTTCGCAAATGACTGACAAGGCCGATACGTGATGTCGTTCGGGATGGCGAAGGCGGCGGCAACGTCGGTCGCTGTAGCCGGCACCCGCCTGCTGATGCTGTTCGGGTCTCACCGAGAGCAGCACTTTCCACCTTGTGGCGCACCAGTTCTCATGCGACCAGCGACGTCACCTCTGGCCGGTTGCTCTGAGGATTGTCTAGAAGAGGTCAAAAATCCCAGGCTGACAGTGAGCAGTCACTCTAGCAGCTTGTGGGGAGACACAGAGGACGGCGACGGGGGTTGTTGTTGTTGATTTGACTGTTCCAGTCGCGTTTTTTGCATTTACGAGCCACGGTCTGGTTGCAGATGGCGTGATTTTCTGACATTTGCTTAGAACACCTTTTCTAGCCCCTTCCCCCTCGAGGGGATGAGCGGTGCCATCCATAAATAGGATTGCTTAGACACCCCAGACAGTTGCCCAGCTCTGTCGTGGGTCACAGCTTTGTTTAATGGAAAGAGACCCGAGTTAACCCGGACCGCCGTCCGTAGGACTTTTAAAGTGGGATGAGGAGTCGGAAGGGGAGCAGAATTACTGAATGTGGAAGCACCACCGTGAATGCCCTCATCTGGTTCAGCCTGCCGGTTGGGGCTGTTAGCGGGGTGTGATCACTGGGCAGAGCCTAGCTTAGGGAAGCCATAACTAAGAGGTGGGGGGCAAGAAGGGACCGTGTGGAGCAGACACCATGTGCATGAAGCAAATTATACGATCTCTCACATTTGCGCGGTGTACCCCCTAGTTGGACATCACTTTCCACTTACGACATTAGTCATCATAGACATTGCCATTGCGTTGCAATCTCCACAAAAGCGCTTGTTAGCATCAGTCAAAAATGCACCCAGACATATAAACAGACAGAAGAATTTATTGGTGCCAACAACTCTCGCACTGAAGACATCAGTCTATGAGGCAGCTGAGAAAATCCTTGGATACACCCAGCGACGCCGCAGTGACTGTATCAGCGGAAGAACCCTGCAGTTGTCTGCTCAGACGGCTAGAGCCAGGTCCCGCAACGATGACTACTTCCGCCAACTTCGGAAGATGACGGCAAAATCGGCCAGGGATGACCGGAAGCAATATTGGGCTGAAATAGCGACATCCATGGAACAGGCCTCGAACGTTGGTGACACTCGAAAGCTCTACCGTCTGATCCGCCAAGTTAGCGGTAAGCCCTCTACACTGAGTGACTCTGTTCGCGATGTGAACGGCGGCTTTATTGCTGACAACTCGGCCAAAGTCGAGCGTTGGCCTGAGCACTTCGAGCACCATCTCAACTTCGATACCCAACCTACATTGCCCTTGCTCTCCTCCTCAGCGGAGTTTCTTCCCTCCTACCTATGCAGTGCCATGCGATCCCCCCTCCGAGGAAGAAGTCGCCGATGCCATACGAAAGTTGCGCAACAATAAGGCACCCGGAGAGGACGGTATACCTGCTGAAATCTTCAAGTCTTGTGTCGACACTCTGGCGCCCTGGCTCCATTAGGTGATTGAACGAGCGTGGAGAGACGAGGTTGTTCCTGATGACTGGGGCTTAGGCATCCTTGTACCTATCCTCAAGAAGGGAGATAAGACGAGATGCGAGAACTACCGCGGCATAAGTCTCATCGACGTTGCTGCGAAGATCTTCGCTATTGTACTACTCAGGCGATTCCAGGCTGTGCGTGACTCAAGGACGAGGCCCAACCAAGCCGGATTTCGTGCTGGACGTGGATGCGCAGATCAGATATTCACACTGAGGCGCATTCTCGAATTTCACCATATCTACCAACAACCGACGGCCGTCTGCATCGTTGACTTTGCCGCCGCGTTCGATTCCGTTCACCGTGAGTCCCTGTGGCGGATAATGGCGCTAGATGGTGTACCGGCAAAAATAATCGCCATGATCAAGGCCTACTATCGCTCCACTACTGCGAGAGTCCTGGTCCGTAGCCATCTTTCCTAACCGTTCGGTATTCGGTCTGGCGTCCGACAGGGTTGTATCCTGTCACCCATACTGTTCAACTACGCTATTGACTGGATCCTCGGGAGGGCCCTACGCGACAGTGACGGCGTTGAAATTGCACCCGGACATCGACTGACTGATCTCGACTATGCCGATGATATCGCCTTACTTGCTTCAAGTTTTGGTGATCTGCAGTCTATGGTGTTACGGGTGAACGAGGTCGCTAAATCAGTCGGTTTGTTCATAAACGCTGGGAAGACCAACGTATTCTCAAGCTGCATCCCTGACCAGGAGAAGGCACCCCTCGGGATTGATGGCTGTCAACTTGAAGAAGTGGACAGTTTTAAATACCTCGGGGCGAGGCCGATGCCTAATGGACAGAGTAAGGACGACATTGTCTCCCGAATCGATGCTGCCCGCTGGGTTTTTTCAAGCCTTCGGAAATGCCTGTGGAACCGACGTGACCTCTCCATCGCCACTAAGATTCGCGTGTACCGTGCATCTGTCCGGTCTGTCCTTCTCTACGGTTGTGAATGCTGGGCTTTACGCGTGGAGGATGAGCGAAAACTGGAGGTAATTGACCACCACTGCTTTAGGATCATCCTTCGAGTGAAGTTAACCGACTTCTTCTCAAATGAGACAGTCCGCGTTCGCTACGACAACATCGCAAGGATAACTCAGGCCATCCAAGAAAGACGACTGAGGTGGTTCGGGCATGTTCCTCGTCGTCCACC